ATTAATTAATTTTTTGTTAAAAACGAACTTTTTAAATTTTTATTTTTCTTGTGAAAATTTGGTTTTGTAAAATAGGGGAGAGAGTTTTTTTTTTTTATATGCATATTGAAAATGCATATATATATATTATACAATGCAGATAAATTATTCGTGTTACAAATTCACTAATTCGAAACATTTATTAATTAATTCATGTTGATCTGTATGACACACATCCCAATTAAGTGAAAAAGTTAGTAAATTTAGTAATGATCACCACCAATTTTTCACTCAATAACATCTCTTCGTTAACGTGATGACGCAAAAATATTATATTTGCTTTTAAAAAAAAGTATATTAATAATTAATATTTGTGAGCACAAAATATTTATTCAGAATTGAGCATTATTTTATATTGATAGATTATGAGAAAAAAAAATTAAATCTGGCATTAAAAAAATAAATATCAAGAAAAATTAATTGATTAATTAATTTTTGTACGAATTCATACTTTTTTTTTAATTTTTTTTTTAACATTATTAGATGTATATTAACAAATTATAATCTCTGTATAAATAAGACTTTATTCACAAAATGGATATATTTGCTGTTGAAGATTAGTGTAAATTGAAATAAGATATGAAATGAAGGTGAAAAAAAATTGATATGACGATGCATTGACTATTTGACTAAAAAAAATTATGCTATTTGACTATTTATTGTAAAATTTTATAAGTAAACATTAATACTAGTTTTCAATTAACAAAAGTTTGATTAGTTGCAATTTCGATCTCATCACGACAACCATCCTTTACTCTTACGAAAATAACCAGGGACTTGCAAAATAGAGAAGGAAATATAATTTACGACAGCGATAGGGATGATTTTGCAGCTGCAACATGACTCGGAAACTATTTTCCGTTCATATTTTGTCTTTTCGTGAATCTATGTATGTAATCAGTACATTACAAAGCACCTAACCTACACACATAATCCACCTTTGAATCAACTACATAAGTATTATCACATCATGGAAATCCGGTCAATTGTTATTCCCCGCTTTTCCTATAAAAAACAAAATTAGCATGTAATTGCTGAAATTAAATTATTTTATTAAACTTCTACCATGATTAACATCAAGATATCGGAAAGAGTTTAAAGAACTTAGCGAGATACCAAAGATTTTTGAAAATTATCAGAAATCGTTAATTTCGACACAAAAGTTACGCCAAGTAGCATTAATTCAGGAAGATATTAACTATGATGGCAAGAAATTTTCCTTTTTGAAGAATTATAACATTAGCTTATAAAATAGCTTAACCAAAAAGAAGATATTTTGATCCCTTTTAATAGAAAAGATATCTTGTTTAATAATGCTCTCTCAGAGGATAAGTTAATAAACATTATCGTATCTCGTGCTGAATTTCAATCCTGATAAAACGAATAAGCCTAATAGCCCATACTCTTCACAAAATTCTAGGTGCCGAACTATTTAGATATATTAGAAAATCTTAAGAAATGAAGTCAAAAGTCCTAAACGGTCCTAAAAAGTGCCAGTTCTAGGGAAGATCTTTATTTTTACTGGGTTATATTTTACTTTCTAATACAAAAAAAAACAAAAGATGTACAATCTAACGATAATGTATTAATTGATATTTATTAAAAATAAATATAAACTTATGCGGGGGAATCCATAATCTTAATTTTGAAATTTTAGAAACTTGTCGATCTCAAAGTTCAACAGGAGTTACTTACATTGATGTGCAGTGAAAATGACAATTTTTAAAATTACGATTGTTACACAATCATCGCATCAATTAATATGTCATTTTAAAGTTGAGAAGCGATAGATTTTATTAAAAAAAAATTAATATGATATTCGTTCACCATTTATCTCAATAACCTCCTTACAACGCTGTGACATTGAGTTTACAAGATTAATTAGAAGGCTATTTGGAATATTTCTCCACTCCTCCCCCAAAAAACACTCTAATTCTTTGGCCTACGTTCCTTTTAACAATTGCCCAAAGGTTTTCAATAGGATTTAGGTCTGGACTATTAGAGGGCCAATCCATAACGGCTGGGACTTTCTCTAGCAAGGATTTCTTAGCTACTTTGTTAGTATGTTTAGGATCATTGTCTTGCTGTAACCGCCAATTTCCCTAGATAGTCTTAAGTGTTATCTTCGTTAATGAGTGTATTTTGGAAGCACTGTGTGTTCCATTCTCCCAAAAATGTAAAATTGTTTGTCGTTGGGTTTCTTGTTTGGATGAAGTCATTTTAACGCTTAAAAAAAAATTATTTTTTCTTAAAGAATTGGAAAGTTTCGTTAGGGAAATCATGGGGCTTTCGTTTGCATATTTATTTATGCATGTACGACCAAAATTGGGTTAGTTACACTTGACGAAAAAATTGTCATTGTTACAATAATTATAATCTCGTTTTCAAACCACAAAATTTTATTCTAAAACTTTAAAAAAGGAAAATATAATAGACAGCATTATGCATGCATACATGCATATTTTATTGTATTCAGAAATGAGGCTTATAGATTTACACAATAACATCCAAGTGATTCATTGTTATTTTTTCCAATACAAGTTTCTTTCAATAAGGATAAATTAATGATTTCAATTAGAATTGCAGTATAAATGCGCCCTTTCTCACCCTCCTTTCCATTAAGTCCTTCTCAGCAAAAAAAAAAATAATAAAATAAAATTCCAACTTCACTTCTTCTAACACAAATATAACAAAATGACTTGCCCTTGCGGAAAAAAATCTGCTTGTGCTTCACAACAGCAACCCGTTAATAATAATACCGATACCGATCCTTGCAGCGTAACGTAAATAACTTTTCTTTTACATTATCGTCATTATGTCTTTTTGAAAATGTAGGTTTTTAATGTAATGAAAATATTACATAGAACATGCTCTTGTGGAAATTGCCAATGCAAGGCTGGCGAATGTAAATGCTAAATGATCTTTGTAAGTAACATCTTTTACATATTTTTATTAGAAAGTCTTAAGATGTTTAACATTTATTTATTTTATTTATTCACATTAGGTTATGTCACAATAACGAAATTCATTTTCAAATATATATTTTATTTATTTATTTTATTTTCACGAAATTGTATGACTTATTATGTATTTTTGTTAAATAAATAAAATCATTCAACACGTTTATAATAAATCTTGTAATTCGAAAACAATATCTTATGCCAAACAAAACGTACATAAATAAATCGGTTACATTTCAAAGAACGTACCTCGAGACAAGTGAATTAATACCTCGATGTTATTCCAATTGTCCCAATTAGTACGCCGAAAGGAACTTTTGTTAAAACTAATAAATTATTAATGTAATTTACGTAATTTACCAAAATTAAATAATATAATCGACACAAAATACTGGTAAATCATTCTTTAATATATTTCTTACTTGATATAAAGATTTCGAACTGATAATTGTAAGATATTTCGAATAAAATGGTTAGATTATTGGGGTTTTCTAAATTATTGAAATGCGTGATGACACACACAAAAATCACGTGATTAAATGAAAGAATTTTTGTATCGCGTTCATTATTTGTCATAATGCCTAAGAAAAAAGTACAATGTAACAAATTAGCACTTGTTTTTTATGACAAATATGTTTAAATTATAATGAACTATTTATCTTTAAACATTATCAATGTGATTTGAGAAAAACATAAGAAATTCAAAAAAATAGAAAAAGCTACTCCAGAGAGATTTGTCCCCAAAAATTGAGATTTAATTTTTTTAATAGGGGATCGGCAGATCGACCAGTATAAAAAATGCACTTTTTCATAAAAGCAAATAATGCGTTACTACTTTTCGTTTTTTTCAAGAATGTAACAAATTAACCCTCTTTACACTATTAAGAAAAAATATACTTTTAGCTTGGTTTTCAGAACAAATCGTTAAATAAATACTGTAGCAGTCATAACCTTAAAACGATCTTCCTTCAAAGTGTTCAAATAAAAAATATTATTTTTATGTTTTTATGACCTTTGAGAATGAAATTGCTTGTTAGGAACGCCATACTATATAAATAGTGAGATGATTTTGATATATACAATATCGATACCGATATGTTGCTTTAGAATAATGTTGGATTAAAAATCAAATGTCAAGATGGACACAATTTGTAATTTCTTTAAAGATGAACTATCAATTATAGGAGATATCCTTGTAACGGTAAGTATATTAAAGTAATTTGAAATTAGTTTTGAAATATTATAATTTTGTAATTATCTTTCGTTTCGTTTAGACAATGACTGTTGAAGCAGATATTTCTCATCCTGGAATTGGGCGAAAGAATCAACTTAGCATTGCAGCAATTTACGCATCAAGGGCAATTACATATTACGATAGAGTGAGTGTCAACAAACAAATTCATAATAAATATATCTGATTTATTGAAAGCATTCTATGAGAAGAATAGAGTTCTTCTGATTTTTTATCGAGATAGTGTAAGTAAAAGTCAGTTTCGCAACTTTACAGAAATGTAATTGCATTGAAGAATGCATTTGATAAATTTTATCAAAAGGATCTTCTAAAATTAATTTTTATGATAGCACAAAAGAGGCATTATAACAAGTATGAAAAAGTTGATAGATTTTTAAATTATTTTAGAAAGGTTAGTTTTTTTTAACACTAATAAAAATCTTTTTGGATTTTCTCTGGTTAATAGAATAGATGCAGATAAATTGGGAAAACTGTATCCCTGAAACTACCGAGGATTAACAGTTAATCGTTTATTGTAATTAATTTGATTTTTGTAACGGTAAATATTTTGATTAAAAAGAATCTTTTGTATAATTTCATGTGGATTTTCAATAATGATAATTTATTTGTCTATCATAGATTTACAATCTCATTCTGGATTTCAAAAATAACGCGTTCAACTTGTATGATGAAAATAAATTTAACGTTGATGAGAATTTATCTTACCGTTATCGTTATATATCGATATTAACGTTAAGTTATTTTATACTAAGAAAAAATATGAAAGAATTTGTGTTCTGTATATTTATACCGATATTAGAATTAAATAATCTTTAATAAATATGATTAGTTATCACGCTAATTTATTAATTGATCTTTAACGTAGTGTTAACGTTAATAATAATCGAGAATCGAGGTTTTTTGTTATTACCAAATTAAGATTATCATTATATTTTTTTCATCATCATGCCTTTTGAAAATGAAAATATGTATTTTTTGAATAAAGGTTTTTTTGCTGATTATATCGGCAGTGAATTTAGAATGTGATGACCAGACAAAGATTATTCGTTTCTAGAAAATGATGATTATAGTATTTCTGATAATACAAGCGAAATTCCTTCAACACACACATTTACCAATGATGATAGTTGTATCCACGAGTTTTTATTTGATCATGAGGCATTTCAAAATGCCAAAGAAAAAGTTACTTTAAATGAATATAATGATGATGACATAACGTGGAAGATATCGATATGGATGTTGAAAAAGTTTTATTTTAACAACGGCTAGTTCTAACATAGATAAAGACTTTCAAATAATCGATGCTGATATAAAAAATAAAAACCTAGTTCCATGTGTTCTAGTTGATATATTTAATGGACAAGTAAAACGTTGTTCAAATTATGAAAAACCAGGACATGCTCTCCGTCCTCTTCATCAATTAATAGGAACATGGGAGATTGATGAAGCTGTAATTAACCAAACAAATCCTGAAAGTATGCTACATACTTTAGGTGTTTGTATGGTACATTTGTCTTTTGATCAAAATAGATTACATAGGAAAAATTCAAAACAATTACAGTCAGTAGGTGAAAGTTACATTTGTCAACATCGTTGTCTTTTTTGTTATAAAAACAAATATTTTTTTAGTCATGGCAAAAATTGTGCAGAATACTTAGTAAGCATTAATGATTGAAATGTGCAGGTACCTTGTGTAAGACTTCAAGTTTGTTTAAGTTTTAAAAATGATAGGATTGTTAAAGAAGTTAGTAAAAATGAGAATGCACGTTATATATGCTCAGAATGTTTCCAAAAAGAAGGAGGACATTTTTTGAACAGAGAGGAAGTGGATCAAAAGCTTTTTATATCATGAAAGTCATATTCATGATACTACAAATACATTAAAATTATTAGGTAGATAGAATATTAGAATAAAAAATAGTTTATTAATAAAAATTGGTACAATTCTTAGTAAAATCTTTGAAAACGCAAAACAAAATGATAATAATAACGATAATGATAATAGTATTAATGAAATACCTCTGAGTTTAGTTTTAGTTAAGACTATATTACAAATAGGAAAAACAAATATAAGAAAGTTAAAGGAAGAACTTTTAATTAGTAATCTTTTAAATGAAAATTCAAAAAGAGTAGGAGAAGTATTTGGATTGTGTGTGTAAAAATCACGCTTTGAAGTTCGTAAAAAAAACAAAATCTTGAAATACCACAATCGCTCGAAGAATAGCAATATGGTTTTCCTATAGTTTTGAAAGATTTTTTGGTGGATTGATAACTATATTACAAAGAAAAAGTTTGAAATTATTGAGAAAAAATGTAAACAACGAGGATTGTCAGCAAAAAGTTTTGATGAAACACGTTCAAATAAATATTAATTTTTATTATTTCCATGATTTTATCAATTGCATTTCCAGGTGTTGACGTATAGCTTACTCATATTATGAGCTCATTATATCAAAAAGCAAATTTATTAAGCTCATTATATACAATTCTATGTATTGCAAGCGTAGTTTCACATACGCAACATCATGAAAGAAGATTAGAGAAGGATAGAATTGATAGAATTAAACCAGAAGAAAGATTAATACAGGAAGAAAATACAGTCAAACCTTGATATAGCGAATTTTTAAATCAAATATATTAAAATTACCTTACTATAGTGAACTAGCCAATTAAATTCTTTAAAAAATTCGTTATAAGCTTATAACAAAGTTGATATCCAAATCCTAGAATTCATTATATCAAGAGTTCACTGTATATGGAATATTTGTGTTATAGACAATATAGATTTTAAAGAATGAGCTTTTGCATATAGAAATATACTTGAAATACATCACATGCAACTTTGTGAATAGTATTTCAGTTCAATTTACCAATTCCAATTCATCAAATTATAACTAATACAAGTTTTAAAAAAAAAACAACTATTTAGAATTGGCTTTTTACAATTTATAGAAAATGAAATCCAAAGTTTTAAAAATAAAATTTATTTTCTTTTGCAAACTTTAGAAATAGATTTTGATATACAAACAGTTTATAAAAAACTAGTTAAAGAGATTGAAATAGGATGTAAAGTTTTATCACCTAATGTAATTATACTGGAACCTGATGAAAATCCTTGCAATAATGAAGCTGTACATGATATTTTCATGATGTTGCTTCAAAAAATGTAAATAATAAATATATAGATATAGCATGCAATAAAGCTATTTTTCACCGTTTAATATCTTATTCTAAACAAAAATCTGAAATTCAACTTATGTTTGGTGCATAGCATACCAGTAAGGAAATATGTAATACTTTAATTACCATTTTTTCAGGATATAGAATCTTTAACATGGCAGCTTATATTGGTTATATTGGTGTCTATTATTTGGATAAATTAGAGAAAGTCGTTAATTATCAAGCAACATGTCGGGTCTTAGAGTTAATATGGATTGCAATCAGAATTACATTAAATAAAATTATGAAAAATAAAGGCAAAACATTTAATAATATCAAAATTGAAAATAACAGTATAATAAAAGTTTGACATTTATATTTTTGCTGGTATGGATATTGGATTAAACACAAGATCAGAATTCAATATGATATGAACACTATGATATGCAATTTGAAAATTTAATTGCATTCGCATTACTTTTTTCAATAGCAAGAAAAAGTAATTACGCAAAATCTGTTACTCATAAGGTTGCTTGTC